TGGCGTCCAACATGGACCGAGAAATGATATTGGCTGATTTCCAGGTAAATTTCAAGCCGCCGCCGCCACAGAACCGTGGCCTTTCGCTGCCTTTCTCTTTCTCCTCGTTGCTGTGCTGCTTATTCTTTGTGGGAAGGTCCGGGGTGGTGGGTGTGAAGCCCACCCTCCAAAGCCTCAGCTCTTTCTTTCTTTATTTCTTTTCATTCTTTTTGTCAGAAATGGGGAACATGTGCCCTCGTCTCTCAAGGTGTGTGAACAAAATGTCGTCTCTAACTTAGAGAGTTTCAGTTGGTGTTTGTGTGTATTTTTTTTTTTTTTTAAAAAAAAAAAAAAAGCTTTTTTCATCCACTTTGCTTGTTCAAACCCTCCACAACCACCCAGGCCCAGGGACAACTGTGAGCCAGCTCACTTGGAAGAGGCAAGTGCCAGGGAGGATACAAAACTCATTGCTCCTCATGATTTACCACAGTGTTTCTAATGAATCACTTACTGGTACTACAGATTAACGCTGACCAGAGGTGGTTTCATTATAGCATCAACACTAACTTCATGGTTGCCTCAGCTATGACTGTTGTAATGACAGTAAGACTCTTCCCACCCCATTCCAAACAACAACATGTTTGTGTAGAAAGGAGGAACATGCCCTTAAAAATTATTTGTTACCTTCCCTTCTCCTCCTTACAAAAGGGTTATAATTTAACTTCAAACTCTTAAATCTCATTTCCAGAATAAAGTCTTTCTCTAAATAAAAGTGATGTATTCAGGAGCCTTGTTAATCTGGTCAGTATATTGCTTATTAATATTCCTTGGTTTTTATAATGTTTTTCTAAGAACAAGTAAGCAAACAAGTGGAAGATACCTGCATTTTGAAATAGCGAGGAGAGGAAAAGCAGCTTGGAAGGGTATCAAATTATATTTGAATACATATTTTTAATATTTGCTTTTCAGTCAATGTTTTTTTTAAGCTTTGTCCATTTGCAGTGTTTGTTTTTACATGGATAGGCTCCTAGATGTTCTTGGATTGAGTGGTAAAACTGCTGTCTGTATGTTCAACTTCTTAAAAGACTGTTTCTCAGCTGTTAGTGGTAAAGCTATTTAATATAGTTTTTAAAAAGGTAATTCTTTCATTCTGGAATGAAAACAGGAATGTTTCTTTGGAATTACAGGTAGGGTGACTGTAGTGTACATTATGTAATTCCTCTTTTGCAAAAGGTATCTGATATCTCACTGATGTAACAGGCGGAGTTCCCAGTTGATAACAGGGAAGTGTTTTCCCCTTCTGTACCTGAGTATCTTACACTCATATTTATTGAAATGCTTAACAAATGTTTCTATAATGATCCTTAATTTTTGTGCTTGGAGATAGTTTTGTTTGTGTAAGGAGTGATGTCTCAATTTTAAGGCTGGGGATTCATAAAAGAAGTTCTTCCAGTAACAATACGCTGTGTAAAAGGACACTGGGACCCCAGTTCTGCTAGTGGAGACAGACCCTTACGGAATCCTACATTATTAGCTGAAACAGGTTTGCATTCGGGAATCCTGGGTGATGATTAAGCTAGTGGCTGTTGAATGTAAGATTACTTTTTTTTTTTTTTTTAAATAGAGTTTTCAATCTGTATCCACTTTCCAAGTTTTTAGTGTCAATGCTATTTTGTAGTTTTGCAGTATTTTCGTACCTGGGTTTTGAAATCAATTAATAAAGGTATAAGAGGTGTGTTTGGTACCATGAAGATAAGTAAGTATTATTGCAAACTTGCAGATGAGCGGTGGAGTCACATAAATCAGTTGTAGATCAAGGATGACATAATGTGTCTGAACCTAGGACCTAGGAAATATTTTATCATATAACAACACTTATTTAGAAAGAACCCAAACCTTCTTCTCTTATATTTCAACAGACAACTTTGTTTTTCTGTTTCATCCTCTTTTTTTTTTTTTCTTCTGCCTTCTGAAACACTGAAGCGTCAATTGTCATGCTGTTAAAGCTTCAGATTAGTGAAGGACAATGTCAGTCATTGTTAGGCCTCATATCTTTAGACTGTTACAAAACGGTAAAGGATTTTGGGTGTTTTAAATACTTGATGGAATTTACAACTCATTCACTAAGAATTTAAAATGGAAAATAAAACACTGTGCAAAGTAATTTTGCATGGTTTTCCCTTCTAGATTTTCTGTTCCTTTTAATTAATAAATAAGTTTCTCAGAGTTCTGCTGCTGCCATCTATGTTTGTGTGATGTACCTTGTGGTGCACAGTGGAAATTTTAAAAGCAATTCTTTGTAATTTTGTTCAGCTAATCTTTGCTGAATTAAATTGGGAGGGAAACTTCCATCACCATTTCACCCTCGCTTTCCCCAAGTTACATTCAAGAGGGATAGAGCAGTGGTCTTTGAACTTTTAAAACTTGAAAGAGTTTTCCCTCCCCATAAAAGAAATCTTCAGTAAAGTCGTAATTATACTGGTGTTTGATGCTTTCATGAAGCTTTCATGGACTTATTTTGTATATTTCAAAGCCATTGGGATTCTGCCATTTATTTCAACTAGAGCAGGATCTTGTATTGCATTTGATGTTTCCTTTTAGCTCTGATTGTTGTAACAGGTTACTTCTACATTCTGAGGTACTAAAGAGAAATACTTCTAAAAAATATTTTGTATATATACATACGTATACATACAAACATTGAATGATTTTATAAAATATTTTAACTATAGAATAAAACACAGTAAATGATTTACCAAAATATTTTTTTTGTAACGTCTCAAAACAATTTAAGCCTGTTCTGTGTGGTTTATAATTATTTTCTTTCCCTCTCCTTTTTTTAATGAGGTTACCGTATGCTACCCAGGGAGTACAAAGTATGTATTCATGCATGTGGGCTGTATAAGCAACCTGTCTAACTTTTCCTTCTTAGGCCCTGACTTAGGAAAGATTATGCAGAAGCTTAGCTTTATACATGAGTACTCTGATTGTTTTCAGTGGAAGTAGCTAAAGTAGTGGAGTTAAGCACACAGACAAGTTTTATCTGTTTTACTAAATGCAATTCAGAATTTCTCCACAAAGTGTCATTGGCATATAGGAAAAACTTCATAGGAAAAAACCCAACAACTGGTGTGTGTAGCATAAATTCTTTAAAAAGGTAACTGCATGCGAATTGGCAAAAAAGTGATGCTGCAACATACTGGGGAAATAAAGGCGTATAATTTTTACCAAGTTTTGTTAACATCTCTGTTCTTCTTTTGTTTGTTGTGTTTAACTGCAAAATGTTCTTCCACCTCCAGTGGGATACTCAGGTACTGACATGATACAAATATATTCATGATCTATGTGGTTTGGGTCCACTTTTCATTATAAAGAAATAGATTATTTTTTTTTCTTTCTTTTTAAATTGCAAACTTTAGTTCCCCTGAGCTTAGTTAAATTGGCATAGTTAAACTGTTCAGGAATGAAAACCAATCTTTGAGTATTGGCAGAAGTGTCAGATGTCGACATTTTTGTATGCTAGGACCTTTTGTTTGTACAGCTTCACTTAGGATGGGGACTGAAATTAGCAAGAATGTCTTTTTGTCATTGTAAGTTGTGTCCACCTGTGGGACCACTTTATTAATGCTATGTGGTTGTCCTCACAACAGTTCTAAATGTAGAATGAGCCTAAGGGTTGGAGTATTGTGGGAGTTGCCAGCTCCTGGGTGTCCATATATTACAAGAATATCTGGCACGTGGAGCTTCAGAAGGAAATCTTTCACAGAATTCACAATTTTCATTGACCAGATAAATAAGTAGCTCAAGATTTGGTCTGGGTGGGAAGACTTCAGAGTGGAATAGCAAAACTCAAAAATCCTTGCTTTCATTGAAACAACAGATATCTAATAGTTTTCTTCTTCCTTCTGTCTTTCATCTGTGTTCATTGTGAAACGAAGTTATGTGAGGTTTTTTCTTTTTGCAATTTTTTTTTTTTAAACTAAGTAATAGACTGGTTTCGTATGATTCACACGCATGTATACAAAAATATATTTTTTTTCAAACTTCACCTTTGTGTCAATCTTTTTCATAAAAACAGAGGTTTGTGGGAGGAGCAAGGGGGAATTGGGAAGGAAGAACCTCATTGCCATCAGTTACAGAAAGGTGAGAAAGCATGCTAGATAATCATGTTTTAAGTTATAAAATTGACGACGACGTTGATACATCAGCTAATTATTTTTTTATTTTAATCTTTTTAAGATTTAACCATAATTCAAACTACTCATTTCCTTCTGGAATGGCTAAAATTAAAGAAACTGGAGAATGTTTTTTGTTTGAAGTAAACATAGTGCTGTTAAAGAACTCACAAGGTGTATTTTTAAAGATTTTTTTTTTTTTTTGGTCATTATGAAAAACATCTGTCTACTTCAGCCCTGTAGAAGATTGTTCCTGTTACGCACACTGTTTTCATTGTCTAACAGCCTATGTGCAGAAATTACAGGTGTATTACTTTTTTGAGGGGATGCTAAGGGAGCTTTGCTTTCTTCTGTGTGTGTTGGCATGCTGACTCAGGTTTTCTGTCACTTTTAAGTTATTGCCAATGTGAAGATTTGATGGGTGAAAAAGGTAGGCAGGTACAGGAATAGCTTTGAGTCAGTATCCTTGATTCTTACCTGGGACTGTGACTTATGCTGGGGGCTGGAAAGAGTTTTCCAACTGTTTTCTGTAAGGGTAAACCATCCACTAATGGGTTTTGAACAAATAGGAAAGTTGCTGTCCTTAATACTGATTTCTGAAAGAAAAGGTAGTATTTTGCCATTAAGGCATTGGAGCAGAAAGGACAGTTCTTGATTTCTTTGCAGTCTTTCTGTGAAGTGTTTGGCAATTCACTTGGAACAAGATCCTCAACAAAAGATAGGTGCTGAAGAGACTTCCGATCAAAGTTTAAATCTTAAGTGTCCTCCAACTTGTGTTTGAATTCTTGGAGGCCTACATTTTCATCAGAAAGTCTCCCTAGGCACCTAAATATCTGGGTTTATATGTGTTCAGATCTGTCTGAGCTTAAAACCTCGGTCTTGCTCATACC